AATTATTTTATTACCACTAGCTTCTTCAAATGCTTTCAAGAATTGACAGTTGGACAATAAAAAGCATTGTCGAAGTTGTTGTCTTTGAGCCAATGTTTTCGGGATATTCTTGAAATTATAAGATTGCATAGCAATTTTTTTGAAATACAAATGAGCACCTTCATATCTCATACACCAATACCTTAGTGGTGGACCATTTTCCTCAATTATTTTTGTATACTCAGTAGCATAATGTACCTTCGGTGTTGCTTTATCTGGCAAAAGCTCTAACATCATACACTGAAAATTTATTGATAATGTTTCAAGACAAGGAAGCCAACTTTTTCGTTGAGGCAAAGCTAATATTATATCCAACATTTCACGCAAAATGAGGTAAATTTTAAATGATTTTAAATGCTCGATCATATCAGAAAAGATGATTGGAAACAATCGAAACAGACAGAATTTTTGAGCTGCACTTCCAGTAATACGATCATTGTTTAGATGTTTAACTTGTATAGAAGGAGGTTTATTTGATGCATCTAATTCACCATAAGAAAAATTTTCTGTTCTCTCCTGAATAGCAGCAAAAGTAATCAGCTTTAAATTTGATGCTTCCTTTAACATCGCCATGATAATGATCGGACATACACCTAAAAAAAAAGAAAAAAAATCAATCTACAAGCAAAATTTTATCTTATGAATAGTTACCTTCGAAATAATCGTGCATCACATCTCCCGGAAGAGAAGCAGTTGTGTCAAAATTTATTAAATTATCAAGTGGACTTGGACCAATAACACCATACATTGATTTTATGTGTGGATTATTTTCAAGTAATTGTAAACATTTTGTATGTTGAAGATGTGTTCGTTGAATGAAGTGAATATAGGTTAATGGTATAAGTCGATTTTCATAAGTTATTAAGCATCTCCTACAAAAATATCCGGAACTGAATGTTTGTTGCATACCAGCGATTTCATGTGCTGCTAAATTATCAGCAGCAATTGTCGTAAATGTAAAATGTAATTGACTGTTAAATGTATCAAATATTAAACCAGTAGATTGCAAATCATTCAAATCATTTACAATCGGATCATAAAATTTTCTAAGTTTTTCATCATTATTCAGGTTTTTTGTGTAACAAATAGCTGCAAGATTAATACATTGTAGCGTAGATCGAAAGATATTCGGTATATCTTCTAACATGAAGTACACAAGTGTCAATTTGTGTTGGTCCTTCTTCAGACCTATCGAATTTGTGACACCGATGCCATCGACATATAATTGAATTAAAAATGATTGATTTTTAAATATTTTACCTTTAACACCGTCCCGTCTTGAAAACATTAAATCTGGATCATTATGTGTTATTGAAGTTTGATGTTGAATATTATCAATTAGAAGTGGTATCATTTCATCTTTTTGTAAAATTTTCTCTAAAGTGTTTCGTATAGGTATATGATATGAATATTCTTTTTTCAAATGATTTGATGATAAAACATTTTCTATAGGTGGTGAATAATTGAAAAACTTTTGACAAGATTGTATAAGTTGATATTCATTTCGAGTTGAGAGAATAATTGATTGTTTTATCTGCTTTACTGTTTTGCGCATTCCATCAACAGAAATAGTTGTTGTTGATTGTTGTTGAGTCATATTTTCTTGTTTTGCTTGTTCTTCTACAAACTCAACTACGCTATCTAGTAAATTGATTATATGTGTTGTAATGGATTGGATCACTGTTTGAGGCAAAATGTGTTTTTCTCTCGTTTCAAGTAAAAATCGGATGAACTGTTGTTGAACTGTAAGAAGATTTATTTTTTCATCTTTACTAGAAATATTTGTTGTTAGAGTGTTCCATTGATTATCAAGATCGTCATCAAAATCTGCATATATAACATTGTCATGATTATTATCAGCTGTATCTGGATATATAACTGTTGCATCAGGTTGCTGAATTGCTAATGTATTCATATCATTAATAACGGTATTTTCTTGTTGTTGACATACTGGATGAAGTAAATTTTCATGATGCCGATGAATGTGCTTTTTGTATGACGTAAATGTTTTATACATAACACCACAAGAGTCTGATATATCACATGTTAATCGAAAATTAGGTTCATTGGCATGATACAATGTAACATGACGAAAATAATCACAAAATTCATTAAATGATCGATTGGTAATGCAAATTTTGCACAAAAAGACTCTAGTGGACATCACTGAGTGGTTGAGTTACTTAATCTTACAATAAAGAAACAAAATCATTTAACTAAGTATCACCTAATACGCCGTATACAAAATCAAACAAACTTCTAGATTAAAGGTGTAAGTCAGCTTATACAACGCTAGTTTCCTAGGAGATAGTACCTAGTAAAAAACATCTAAACTATGATAGGTGGAAGAGAGAAAGGATAATAAGATGAAAGAATATTTTTAAATCAACCTGAAAACGAGGTCCATTACATATTTTATAGGACTCACTTTGAAATTCTTTAATTAATTCATCATTTGAAATGAAAGTACGTAGCCAAGTCGCAACATCATCTATTTCCCACGTGAATGGATCAGTAGTATTCATCTATAAAAAAAAGCATTCAAATTGTTTTAAATCTTCCATCTTTGTGGTACATATGTATTATTTTATATATATAACATCAAAAGGCTTAGAGATTCAGAAAAATCAATTTTATTGTCGAATAGCATTCAAAACGTTTCCTTATAGCGTGTTTGAATGATATGAAAGTGGTTTGAACGTCGTATGCACAAACTAAAAGATGAACAGGGTTATTAGGAAATCATGTGAACATGTTTTGATCTATTTTCAATCAGCTTCGCTCGTGTCACCAAACGTTATTTTTCTGGACCCGTCCCAACCCGTGCTTTTGGCTGATACCCTCTGCCCTGATTAATTATGTAAAAAACGTCTAGGTTTCTTTCAAAGCAATCTTTTTCATATTGACTGTTTTCCTTATTATCTGTATTTTCAAGGCTAGTATATTTTAAAAATCAGATGTTTGTGAACTTAAACGAAGTGAGGTGTTCGAAATTTAACATTACAACTAAACATTGAAGTAGATGAGTAAACATCCTCAAACTTTACTTTTAACTTTCATTTAAACTTTGGTTGATATCAATGTATTCTGAGAGCATTCAGATAGGTACATTTAATAATCACGGGCATTTGAGATTTGATATTTCTTTTTTGTCCATTCTATGATGACTATGCAAGAGTGCACCTAGAAACAGTTTGTGCTTGTTAACTTGTTTGTGCATTTTTTATCGTGACCAATAGTTATCATTACTTAATCTCTTGATTCAGTACCATATGAATAAGAAAATTATCTTGAGCTTCTTTTCGAAAACCTAAAGAATAATCGAGAATTCTAACAAGAAACTGTTATATAAACGAAATGTTATAGACAACATCAGAGAAAATACAAATAATCGCTTATATTCATTTTTTTTTGTTTTTAATGAAAATTGTTATTAAATGAGGCGAAATAAACAATTATTATCTCAAACTTGCATAACTTTCAGCCAACCGAAATGTGAAGACGACACAATCAATTCAATATAAAGTAAACAATATTACAACACAAATGCACTGTTACGAATCTATACATTAGAGGCTTAAACTTTCATTTTTATTAGATTATACCACGTAAGCAGAGAAAACACTGGAAAAAAAGAAAGGCAGATATCATAGAATGATGATTCATTGTTCTCTTGACAAATATGTGGACAAAATTGTTGCAATCACATGTGGATGACAATGATATCATCACCTCGTTTTCGCTTAAAACTAATTTTTTTGAATGATTTGAAGTCCATCGATACTATCTTCTTGTAGATTAGTCAGTTAGAATAACTTTACAATGACAAATATTTCTAGTGTTCTTACTCTCTCTCACCTTTTGTGGATTCCAATTCCTAAACTTAGTCGGCGTTTTTATTAGAATTTTATCAAAACAGCAAAGAGAAAAGACACATATTAGAGTTAATGTTGTTATTCAATGGTTTGAGTTTTGTCAAGGCTATGTTTTTTGTCCTATACCAGTAGCCACACTTGAATTGACAATGTAAAAATGATGTTTGATTATTTTGAGAGAATGAAATGAATATGTATAAAAATATGTTGATGTCAAGAAGCAATCATTGATAAGCAAATGCCTTGTGATAAACACATAGTCGCTTCAAGCGTCCTAATAACCGTTAAAATGAAAAAAAAATGAAGATCGAAATTCGGATCCCCACCAAGTTTCTTCCAAATAGTGGTAAGGCTCTGACATCACTTAAGGGAAGCAGTTTTCGACTGCTTTCGAAACTTCGGAAGTCTTCGAAGGCTTCAAAAAAATTCGGAAACCTATTTAGGTTTTCCATTATACTTTTTTGAGTTTTGGAAGTTTCACAAACCTTTTCAGTTTTCGATGAAATTCTTCGGAAACCTATTTACGTTTCCCATTATACTTTTTTGAGATTTGGAAGCTTCAAAAACCCTTCCAGTTTCCGATGAAATACTTCGAAAACCGAAATGGTATTGTCGGATACCCCTTGGGGTAGAAAATCGATTTTGCTAGTAATATAGGTTTCCTAATATACCTTTACGGTTTCCCTCAATACCATCAGAGAATCCGAGGATACTTTTAGGGTATCCGAATCGGCATTCTCGAAAACTCTTTGGTTTTCGAACATTCGGAAACCAAGAGGATATTCCTGAAACCCATAGCGGAGACCGAAAACCCTTTTGGAAACTCTAAAGGGTTTCCGGAAGCGTATCCGAAGTCGTTTGGGTTTTCTAGAAAACGGATTTTTTTTAGAGAGTAGTTGGCAAGCATTTAAAGGACTGATGCTCCTGCAAATTTCTCGGATATAAGAAGAGTTATGTATGCAGATAAAATGGCGTCGGGTTCCCCTCGAATAATAGAGATTTAGTGGAACAGCGCCTGGAATCCTACATACCGACCATAGAAATACCGTTGTCACCTTTTGAAAAACTATACACAACTATTTGAAACTCTCATGTTCTTGTGAATTTCTCAGATGTAATAAGAGCTATCTATAAATAAAAAATGTCATTCGCGTCTGCTCAAATGGTAGAGATCTCAGTGAAACACTTCCTGAAATCATATATATTGACCAGAGAAATACCAACGTGCCCTTATGAAAAATTATTCCGCAAGCATTTCAAAGCCTGATGCTCTTGCAAATTTCTCGGATATAAAAAGAGCTATTCATGCGGGAAAAATGGCGCCGGGATCCACGCGAATAATAGAGATCTTAGTGAGACACCTGATGAAATCCGATATGCTAACCATAGAAATACTAATGTGGTCTTATGAAGAACTATTTGCCAAACATTTGAAAGGCTGATGTTCTTCGAATTTTCTAGCATACGGTAAGAGGTATTTATGCAGAAAAAATGGCGCCGAGGTCTAGTCGAATAATAGACAAAAGAGTATACAAGTCAACTGTTCGTTCGTATCTATCTATAGATTTGATCAGTATTTGTGTCAAAAGTGCTGTCAATTACAGTTGCACGACGTGTACTTTTATACACTTTCGTTAAACATTTTCTGCTGTATCAACTGATATATAGCAGTAGTTCTTTTGGTAGGTTTTGCAGTACACTGTACCCTGAAGTTTTTCTACATACTAAGGCTCATATACCCTTACATATATATATGGCAGTATTATTAGGGAAGAAAAGTAGCTTGGCGAAAAATATTATAGAGTTAAATATTAGAATTAATTACCTTTCTAACCAAAGAAAATTCGTGGATGTTTTCTTATAATTTTCAGATAGGGCGGGTTTTGCTGGCATATCCGCCCCCCTTCTTAGCAGAAGAACTGTTCAGTTATAACCTTTGTTGAAAACAGTTGAATAACCGGGCCATCGTTTTTCTCAGATATTCTTACATCAGAAGATGCAGTTTTTGACGGGCTATCTTCTGCTATCATAAAATTTATGGCGCTCTCCCATTTTTGAGTCAAAAAGTTCAAAATACTTGATAGGAATCACACTTTTTATGACCGAAAAATCATCGTATTGACCCTTTTTTCCCCCAAAATGATACTTATGTGAAGTCAAAAATTATATGACTCGATAGAAAAAAAAAGGTCTTTCTTTTGACAAGAGTCAATACTGAGGTAATTCTCAAAATAACGTATCAAGTCTATGATATACTGAAAAGTACGAAAAATGACTTTTTTACTTTAGCTTTATGAGACCTGTTATCATGACGCACGTTATAATTTAATAAAAGATGATCAAAAAAACCTAATATTTTGGATTCAATACTAACTAAATACGATCTATAGTTTAAGATAATTAAATTAAAAAAAAACATTTTTTCTCCAGCCATGTTACCTGGTATTTCTGGTGGACCCTCTCTTAAAGTACTTTAAGACCACCCCTCCCCCCCCCCTCAAAAATCGATCTCAGCCTAGGTATGTTCAAATGGGCTGAAATTTGGAGTATGTGTTGGGGCTGAAGTGAGGAGGCTGTGGTAAAATTTTCAGCTCGATACCCTGGTGTTTGACAGAGATATGAACGAAAGAAGGGTCAAAAAACAGCTCATCTCATCTCCAAAAGTTCTCTGTGGACCCTCATTATATATATATAATATTTTTTTTGTTTGAAAGCTTGTCTGTAGGGCTAGCCACTCTCGTGGCCCTTTTTTTTAAATTCATACTTTTTAAGCGAAGAAAATGGATGACAAGTTCAATGACTCAAAAAACCCGCCAAATAATGGCGTTTTTTCTATAAAGATGTGTTCTTATACAATAATAAAAAAGCTTACTTTAAAAAACAGGCCACGAGAGGGGCTAGCCCTAGACACAAGCTTTAAAAGAAAAAAAAATATTTGACTTTGTATCGTACTGTGATAGGGGTATGATGGAGATACTGAAAGCCATCGGACATAAAAAGACATGTGCAGTAAAATTGTTATATCTCTAGCTAAGTATCAAGGAATGGAGCTGAAATTTTCAGTGATGCGATGATGACTCATCTCCAACATGCCCTGAAATTTTCAGCCCTGTACAATGACCTAGGGATGGAGAACCTGTTCTCACAAAGCGACGAAGTGTAAATCGGTGAGCAATGTTATTTTGAGGCAGCGGGGGGAGGGTGGCCTTAAAGTACAGCAAAATGCTTCAAAGTACCTTAAAGTACAAAGTACGGTGTTTCCCCCTTGGCATTACCTCGAATAGGCCTT